GCACATAGCAAGGAAATGAGAGACCTGAGAATACTGCCGTTTGGAGAGCCCGTTTTCTTTGTAAATGACAAGTCGAAGCTTCAGACAGTTGAGAAGATTGGCATCAACAAGGCAAAGCTCCGAGGCATCCCCGGCTACTACCTTTACCCAGCGAATTATCATCCCCTATATGCTAAAAATCTCAAGAGTACGTCTACATCAGTAATTATGCTTCAAGTGAATGGAAAACCGGTAATATCTAAAAACTTTCACCCAAGGACACTAAATGCGCAGAACAAGCTATTTAGTAAATCACTCATTCAGACCTCTCAGGGAGAAGGGGTAGACACCACTCGATCAGACCCTAGGAAGACATCTCAACCCCTTGCTCGCACCCAGATTGTCGACAGTCATGAAACTTCGGCATCAGCCCCTACCAATCCTGTTCAGGAACCTGAACCTCCACCAACTCGCGAGAGTCCTCCTTCTCACCCAATTGGGAGTCCCAGTCAACATCGTCCCTTCCAAAAGAAGTTAACGTTCCAGGACGTGACTCCTCCGAGAATTAGACACACTCCTTTCTCTACTCCTGTGACAGAAGAGATATCAGAATCACAGAGAATGTCGCCACCATCTGGGTCCGACTTCCTCGAGTCTGCTGAAAAGAAATTAACTCGCATGTTTAACTTTTATCGGATCAGGAACTCGGAGTCCCCCTTTGTTGAGACTCCAAAGTCTCCAGAATCTACTGAGACCATCTTTTCTCCTGGGTCTCCGCAAACGGAATCAGTCCCTGCTGGCTATAGGCATCCAAAGCATGGCGATTACATCAACCTCAGAAACAGAGAGGGCGGATGGAACACGAAACTGAAAGTGATACGCGGGAAACCACACAAGATGTTCTCAGAGACTACTCCAGGCCTCGAAGTTGATCCCAAAAATATCTCAGTAGTAGAGTGGGAAGAAGGAGTAAAACGTGCTGTTGATGTTCGGCCACAACGATACGGCCCTGCCAGCGACCCCTCATCTATTTGGCATTTTGCTGACAGTGACGGGGTGGAAATTAAACCCACCGACACCGAAGGAACGCTGCTGAGCTGCTTGCCTAGCCTCACAGACTTGTCGTTCGTATCAGGAGAAGGTGGAATGCTGAAACAGGTCCAGGCCTACAATAGTGGAGAGCTATCAGCTACCCACTCCAAGGGCAAACTCAAGATTACTGCTCGCGCAGTCCCTGGGTTTGACAACAGGTACGAACTCACAAACCTAACTCGAGTCACCTACAACGCTCCCAAACACTTTCTGCTGGCAATGACTCTTGCAACATGTAGCATCTTTAATTCAGGCTCTATCAACGCCACTGCATCACTGAAAGGTGACTGCAAACTGACTAGGACCAGGACCATGCCCAGACATATTATCCACTATGAGAAT